GTACTGGTTTGTTCGCCAAGGGTCTTGGCCGCTGCTTGCTCGCCTTGCGTCATCTGCGCGCAAGCTCAGATCTGCTGCGGAAGCTTCCTCTCCGCTGAAGCTTTCAGCGGAAATCTCCGCAATGCTCGGTGCGACATGAGGGGCAGACTCATGCGATGCCGCACGTCCATCGCTGGCCGCCGCCTCATGCTTGTCCTTCTTCTCGCTGGCTGCATCGGAGCCCTGAAGGGGTTTGAAGTCTAGGTTCTAAGGTCTCGGGCGGGAAGGTACAGGCCGCGTCTTTGAGGGTTTGGGCTGCTTAGGGTTTTAAACCCGACAATGCGGATGAGCCAGAATTTCGGTCTTGTGTTCATACTTTGGCACAGAATGTTTCTTTTACACGGCAGAATTCTCTTTCCCAGCGTCAGAGAACATCTTCTGCCAGGCTGACACCAGCACGTAAAGATTGTAGAAACCATAATAATCACCAACATGTTTCCCTGTTATGCTTTTGATAACTAATTATAGCGGAACATGCCTAATAGTCCGATTGCAAGATTTGCAAGTTGTTGGAGCTTTTGCATTCACCAGAAAACTGAAGACCACAGCCTAACCTGCCAGCCATGTCATGTATTGGAGTTACCATAAGTTAGAATAAAGTAGTTTTGGGGCAGTGGTTCCAAGGCATGTTCTCCATAGAGATGGAAGGAATGGGAGCCCATCGCTGGCCGCACTACAATGAGAAGCTGAGCTCTTCGGACTTGCGAGTGCGGGTGGCCGCTAGAAGCACTTCTAGCACTTGCCGCGGCTGACCCACGTGATCCCTCGCTGACATCAGAAGCTGCGCTCTTGTCGCTTGCGTCACTCTTGTGCTCGTTGGCCACGTGGGGAGGCAGCACTTTTTGGGCATGCTGGAGCCTGATTACCGGCGGCGCTGGCTTCGATCTCAGTCACCGGCACTGATGGCGCGCGCCCCCTGCCGGCCGCACTGCGCTGAGAAGCTAAGCTCTTCGGACTTGGAACCTGGGGTGACCGGTGACCGGTGACATCAGAAGCTGCGCTCTCGTCGGCGGCGACCTTTTCCTACAGACCACAACTGGCAGGCGCCATGTCAACGGTTTAAACCCTCTTTAGACAGTTTCATTTGAATCTAAACTCGTGACCCCATTTGTCAAGCGGTTTGAACGGTTGAGGCGGCTGAAACCGTTCAAACTTTTGAGCGCGCGTTTCACGTGCTTGGAAGTGCTTGAACTGATGACCTCATTCTCTCAGCTTAGCCCCCATTTTCTAGGCGTAGCTTGAGCAGTTGGGCTTAAAGCCTCTAAATGCCCGGTCTGCGAGGTGTCATTTAGCAATCCACACGGTGTACAACCGTCTAAACACCGCCTAGCTCATGGGGTCACTAGGTAAAACGGTGTCGAAAACAGTGTACAACGGCACGTGACAAAGCTCTGTAGCGTAAACACATGAAACTGTTTCAACTGTTGCAACACTACCCCATGTGAAAACCATATCCTGAAGTCGTTCGAACATGAGTCGAGGCACTGTGTTTTGCTTTATTTTGCTTTGAAAGCAAGACGCTGCATAATTATTCTCCGGTTTTATACAGAGGGATCCAGAGAGAACTGTTGCCTGGTTGGGCCCTTTTCGCCCTAACTATCGGAGAGACACTACTCAGATGTGTCGTGTGTGCAGCAGCTTACCGGTTGCTGGGGTGTTGTTTCGGCGCACCACTCTGGAATACTGCCCTAGATGTGTTCAAGAAAAGACATGCACTTGCTTAAACATGTTCATACGCTCCAGACGCTGAATGTAAAAACCTGATCAAATGCACCAAATTAAACCAACTTCTACCTAAACAGTCCCACACCTTGTCATGGTCAAAATATCTTCTCCCTCATGGTGGTTCAACATTTAAATTTTAGGACCCTGCCTTGATCAGCTGGCTGGTAGGTATGTGCCGCAAGTCTGCCATTTGCGACCGCATAGTTTCCAGTTCAGCCTGGAGCCTTTTCTTCTCCAGCTCTGCCAGGGACTGCTGTCGGACTTGCTCCTCCTGAAGCCTGGAGAGCTCCTTCGCTTGCAAGGACAGCTGGGTCTGCAGCTGTTGCACCATATCGCTTTGCACCTGCTCAGTGGCGGAGGGCGAAGGCAACACCGCATCCTGACTCGGTTCCTGCCGGCCCTCCATGCCTCCCGCTGCAGAAGCCGGCAACGGAAGTCGCTCGACAAGTTGCTCCAATGTTTGTAGCAACTGCTGGGGCATTTGCATAACTGGAGCAGCCTTGCTTGACTCAGCTTGTTGTAGCTTTTGCACTTCGGCCTTCAGCTCAGCCACCTGGGCCTCTTCTCTTTTGCAGGCCTCGCGCAAGTTCTGCAAGTCCGCATCCCTCTGAGCCCTTTCCCTGGCTTCACGCTCCACATCAGCTGACCTTGATTCAGCTGGACCCAAACGTTGCAAGAGCTGTTCCAAATAGCTTGCTTCCAGCTGCGGTGATGCGGGCTGCCCCATCTGCGTGGCGCTGCTCAGCTCGAGCTGAAGAGAAGCCATGCGCTCCTTCAGATTGGCTACCTCCTTTTCGTGCTTCAAAGTGTCAGCTTCCCGTTGCAGCTGAGCTGCTTGCTGAGCTTGCTCGGCCTCCCTCCGGAGGCGTTCCTGCACCTGGTGCTGTTCATCCTGCTGTTTCTTCACTTCGGCTGCACTCTGTTGGACTTCTTCTCTTTGCCTCTGAAGCTCTTCCTCTTGCATAGCAGATTGCAAGGCCATTTTGCTCTCCTGCAGCCTGGCACCCTCCTCGAGCAGTCGCTCCCTCTCACGCTGAACTGCCTCACGCTGCAAATCATTCGCCCTCCTCTCCTGGTTGGCTTCATCCCTCTCTTTCTCTAGCAGAGTCCACTGCCGCACCATCTCTTCTTGGTCCTTGCACAAGGCAGCATGGGTTTAGGGTGTAGGGTATTGGGCTTAGGGCGTAGGGTATCGCAGCACATAAATTACAAGAATCTCCTGAAAGAAGCCCGCTACCCAAGTTTTGTAGGGTCCTCGTAGTTCCGCTGCAGGCTCAATGCGAACATCAGAGCCTAGCCAGGTCAAACTTTGGGAACCACAGGGATACTTAGCATGGAACAGGCATCACACGGGAGAACTGCGTGAGGCCCCGTTCCATTTCATTTTCTGTTTGATCTCCTTCTTTAGTAGCTCCTGCATCTGCATAATACCTATGCTATCCAATATGATCCCTTCTTATCCATCATACCCTAAGTTCCCTGTAACCTTGGTAGAGATCACAAGGTCAGCTGGTGCTTAGGATCATAGATAGCAGAAACTAAGGATTGGCTTCCTGGGAACATCCAGTACTATAACTACTCTCAGCATACAAACCTGCACCCTGAACCCTTAAACCCTAAACCTGAACCCTAAACCTGAACCCTACACCCTTAAACCCTAAACCCTTGAAGACCAAAACTCGGGCCTTTTGCCTCTCCACCTCCTCCCGCTCCTGCTGCAAATGCTCTCTTTCGAAAGCCTCCGCCTCCTGACAATACTGGGTTGCTGCTAAGGAATTTAAATTAAGCTACTACAATAATGGGTCTGTCAGGTCTGGGTTTAGGGTTTAAACTACCATAATAAGCTAGAGATATATAACAAGTAAGTACATTAAGCTACTACAATATGGGTCTTTTAGGTCTGTGTTTCTTTAGGGCTTGAGCTAACATAATATGGATATATATATATATAATCGGTAGGTAATTGGCAGGGGTTCCTTATTGTAACTTAATGGAAGTTCCTTAACAGCAACCCAGGGTATCGTATCTGACACGTCGCCCACGGTTCAGACAGTAGCAGATAGGACGTGGGAGGAAAGCTTGTAGGCAACCTAATAATACGAGAGAGACCCCAGGATGAAATCACAAAGGAACAGGGTTTAGGGTTGAGGGTTTAGGGTTCATGTTTAGGGT